CACACACACACACACACACACACACACACACACACTTTCCACTCAAACTCCAAACCTGGGAGAATGACACCAGCTGGATCTATGCCCATCTCGGTTACCTCAACCGTGCCAAACAGGCTTTGTGTGGCCCACACAATAGAAACAAGACAGTCTTGGCCTCGATGCTTCGTTGCCTGGTGATTCATTTGACCACGACTCTCAAACCTCACCCCTAGGAGTTCCCAGCCATGGTCCACACTCTTTGGGTGTGTGAACATTTGGCTACAGTCTCTCAGTCACTGGTTCTCGGGTTGATGGGACCTTTTGTAATAGTCTTATTATTGGGAGATGTGAGCTATGATAGGGTTTACTATATCAGATATGAAATTATATTTTCTCTCTACTCTAGAAAAATCTGACATTAATATGATTTCCTAGCTGTGGGATCCTTCTTTCCTTCCTTCCTTCTTTATTTTCTTTGTTCCTCCCCCTTCCTCTTTTATCCCTTCCTTCTCCTCTTTCCTTCCTCCTTCCCTCCCTTCCTTTCCTTTGCTCCTCCCCCTTCCTCTTTTCTCCCTTCCTTCCCCTCTTTTCTTCCTCCCTCCCTCCTTTTCCTTTGTTCCCTCCCCTTCCTCTTTTCCTCTCTCCTCCCTTTCCTCCTTCCTTCCCTTCTCTCTTTTCTTCATTTCCTTTGTTCCTCCCCCTCCCTCTTTTCTCCCTTCCTTCCCCTCTCTCTTTCCTTCCTTCCCTCCTCCCTTTTCTCCCTTCCCCAAATCTGTACAGAACTAAAATTGCCTTTAAGTCCTCCTTTTCTGAGTCATTCAAGACAATAATATAACAACAGCTGCCATTTCTCTCTCACTTAAAGGTTTTACAAAGCTCTTTACATAGACTCTCTCAGATGACACTCACAACTACCCTGTGAAGTAGGTGCCATTATTATTCTCATCTTCCACATGTGCCAACTGAGGCTTTCAGATTAAGTGACTTGCTCAGAGTCACACCACAGGTAGGTGGCTGAGGTTGGATTTGAACTCAGGTCTTCCTGACTCTAAGTCCAGTGCTCTAGCCAGACCACCTCTCTACCAATAATAGCTAATATTATTATAGCACTTTAAGGTTTGCAAAGTGCCTTGCAAAAAGTATCTCATTTGATTCACACAAAACCCTGTGAGGTAGGTGCTATGTTATTTCCATTTGACAGAAGAGAAAACTGAGGCTCAGGGACATACAAATAGAATTTGAACCCAGGAAGGTCTGTCTGACTCCCAGTCCAGGGTTTTACCCATGCGACCTGGAAACTCATCCAGGTTAACTGCAAGCCTATAATTTCCGCATTTGAATGAGATACAGTTGCCTATGTTTTCTCATTCATTTGGAATCTTGAATCCTCATTCGTCCTTCCCTTCACTGCCTTCAAACCAGAGTTAAATATATCCCTCTAATAGGTTTCTGATAACATCTCCCTTTTAATCATTTACCACCCGATTGTCGGGGTCTGCCTTCAATCTGGGAAGGGCAACTTCCCAAAACTACCTCTAATTGGCTCTTTACAAAGGCAGCATAATAAAGTTGATAATAATAATGGTGTTGATAATTCTTGTGTATGAAGTAATTTTATGATCACCAAGCACTTTGGGAATATTCTCTTATCCCAGCCTCTATAATGCTGAGATTGTTCAACCTCAATCTATGGGCTCCAAGTCTACGCCATGCCTGAGCTTGAAGCCCTTCTATAATGTAGCTGCTGCTTGAAGACTTCTCCTGATGGGGAACTCACCACCTCCTTATGAGCACAGCCCATTCCACCTTAGGACAGTGGGAAGGAATATCACCTCCATTTTACAGAGGAGGAAACTGAGGCAGGCAGAGGTTCAGTGATTTGTCCAGGGTTGCCCAAATAAGAAGTGACCAGATTTGAACTCAGGTCTTCCTAACTCCATTCCTGGCACTCCATCTGTTTTACCACTAACTGCCTCCTTAAGGAATGTTGCCTTGTAATATCTTCTTAAAATCATTCACCAATTTTAAGAGTTGGAAAGGATCTCAGAGGTCATCTAGTCCAACTTATATCCCCCCGAGAATCCCTTTCATAACATACTTGGCAAATGGTCACATAGGGTCAGCTTGAAGACCTCCCAGGTGCTGCCACCTAGGGAATTCTGTTCCATTCTGGGACAATTCTGATCGCTTCTGAGTATTTCCCCACATCCTGACAAGGTAACCTCTTTGCAATTTCTACATATAGCTCCCAATTCTTCCCACTGTGGACAATAGAACAGGTCTTTTCTACATGATAACCCTTCAGTTACTTGAATATGGCTCTCATGTACCTGCTTTCTCAGTCTCCTTTCCAAGTTTTTTTTCTTTTTCTTTTTTCCCCATCCAGGTGAAATACTCCCACCTTCTTCCAATGATGCCATGGACTCAAGGTCTTTCAGCCTCCTGCTTTTCCTCCCCGGATGTCTTCCTATTAAGCAAAGGCTCCTAGAAACCAACCTAGAGCTGGAAGGATCCTAAGCAGTTGTCTAGTTCAATCCTCTCATTTTCAGGGAGAGCATTGAAGGCCAGAAAAGTTAAACAACCTGCCCAAAGTCACAAAGGGAGTCGGGATCAGAGGTGGGGTCAACGTCTTTCCCAGAGTGTGGTACCCAGAACAAGACTCCAAAGGGGTGTTGTCCAGAACTGAACTCCAGCGGTGGCTTCCACAGGGCAGAGTTCAGAAGTACCGAAGAGAAGGGAACAGCCTGGTCAACATAACTCAATAAGCTTGAGTAACAAAGATTCCTCCAAATGTCACTTCCCCTTGGACTTGAGGCATTTCTTTTTCCACTTCTGCTGCCTTTGCACTCTTGAAATTCCCTCAACACCCGCGCCCTTTTCACCCTGGAGCATCCCTCTGCCCTGCATGGCTCCTTCTTCCTATGATTGAATTCCTACTGGGACCTCCATTTTGAGGAAGGGCTCAAGGCAGCCATTTTTTTTCCCTCTCCAGGCTCTGATTTCTGATTCTCTGACTCCGTCATCAACCCTGCCCTGCTCTCCCAACCCTGCTGTCTTATTTTGTGCTGTGTTTAGCCTCTGCATTTAGTACAGTGCCTGGGACACTGTGGGTGCTCAATAAATGTTTTTGACTTCTTTCTGCCTATGAGGCGTAGGCCAGATAGCTCTTTGGCTAGGAGTATAAAGCTAAGTGGTACATATCTGACTTGTGGACAAACATGCTAGAACATTGACATTCAGATGAATGGGGAGCCTTTCAGAGTAGTCTGCTTTGGAGGTTATTCATTTATTCCAAAGATGAATATTATATGAATATAAAAAAATGCCTTCTTCAAAACCCTTCTGGAAGCTCCTCATTTGAAAGTGGTTGTGATTCATTCACAGTCAAGACAATTCAGTCCAACAAATTTTTTTTTCCTTCTGAATGCTCGTTGGAGAGGTCGTTAGGTGGTAAAGTGGCCAGAATGTTGGACCACAGTGGCCAGATTGTTTAATTTCTCAGGGCCTCAGTTTCTTCATTTGTAAAATGAGGCAGTTGGACTAACTGGTCTCTAAGGTTACTTCCTTTTTTTAAACTGTTTGTATGATCTTTGCTTTTTGAGGATAGATTTTAATTTTGGAAATGGCTCAAACCTTTTCCGAGGCAAGGCTGGTGACTACGGTGGGTGGCCAAGCTGGGTAGCATTGGTTAGACTTTTAATATGTGGCATGATTAGAAAGCAATGAAATGGATGTTTTTATGTGGCTTGGAAACAGGCCCTGAAGACAATTCCAAGGGGGAGTTCAAAACTATTTTGGGCAAAGACTTCCTCTGGAATAAGAGTGTGGCCTCCCAGAGTGACAACTTTTGTCGAATCCTAGATGAAAGGGACCTCCGACGCCTCCTCATTTGACCCATTCCTGAACAAGAAAAGAATACTCTTCCTAACATACAAGGGGTCATCCAATGTTGCTTGCACACCTCTAGGGAT